CATTTTTCGGTTTTAATCAGTGTTTGTAAATTGACTTCAGATGGCAAAAATGGAAGTTGAGGCCCAAACATGTTGCGGAACTCATAGCATTGGCATGACTTGTCTGCTCAAGCATAGAGATTGGTGCCCCCCCCTCCCCCCGAGAAATCTGCTGGGAACATGGATGATTAAAGTGTGGGCAGATGAGTGAACCTTACCGAAGAATCATTCAGTATCCCTGATGTGTGCCTCATGCTTGTTTGGACATTATCCATTGTTGCATGAGGACTCTCATTGTTACATTGCATCTATCATCAGGGCTGAAGCGTTCCTGGGCTGTAGGCACTAAGTCAATCCGTTCTCTAGGTGCTAACATCGTGTATTTTATAGTGCTCAAGCCTCATATTTTACGTCGATGTTTGACTCGTACTGGGCCATGTGCTTCCTAGTTTTAAGCCTCTCTAAAAGAGAAAATTCAAAGAGAGACATTTAAACTTTTAAAGCCTACCTTTTGCACACATGTTTATTGGTCTGGGGTGCAAGAAACACTACACTAGTATAATTTTCGTAGGCCCTCCAATGTTTCGGAGGCCCTGGACGCGTTTGCTATGTCAGCTGACAGAGTTTTCATCTTTAACTGCTGATTTGGACTTGAGTTGTAATATTTTTGACTACAAACCTGACTTGAGCAAATTTGATGTGAAATTACCAACTTCTGTTGAAATCAATAATGTAAACAAATACGCCGTGCATGTACATACCAGTATACCATATGTGTGTCTGTCACATTCCATGGGCAAAATGAAAGGAGCTGTCTGGTTTCATTATACATGTACATGTATGTACACTGATGCTTTGCCTCAAGAAATATAAGCATATCATGTTGGACAAAAATGAAATACCCTGATTGAACTTATTTTGTGAAACATTATATGTGTACCAGTAGGTCACATCAAAAATTATGGATGTCAAAAAAGTGTGCCGATTGACATGTATATAACATCATATAGGCTTGAACAAATTCAGGAGTACATATGTATCTGAGAAATGGGAAAACTTGACTTGTGACTTGGCTAAGGGGGGAAAAAATGACTTATGACATTACTTGTGGAAGAAAATGACTTGGTTACAATGCTTCCCGTTGGGATAATCAGGCGCTGTCTGTTATTGACACAAATACCCAATACTAGGACTTGTAGTACGTTAGTGGCAAGTGTGTATGCAGAATGTGTTGGCCAAACCCGAAATAAATTATGTACATATACCTGTCTGAAATTCTGTGAATGCACCAGACACCTTTGTGGCAATTCCATTAGGCTCAGTAGGCAGAAGGGCAAACAACATATGGTACTCCTTGTGGGACTTGGCCGTCATCCAGCGTCCTTCTTTAATTACCAGCTGTCCCCAGTGGAGTTCAGATTGCAACAAGAAGATTCTGTCACTGACACCTGCCGAGCAGGATCTTGTGCTATGCTGGCATGCAATAACTTGTGCGTGGTTCCCAGACAAGAATTACATTTGTGTTATTTGCATTCCTATGCTACAAAGGGCCCTGAATTGTAAACGCCAACGTTTGAGGTTTGGTCTATGAAAAAGTGATCTCACAAACATGACAAACCTGCGATGTGCGTTGGCTATTTAAAAAAATAACTTACTTGCATGTATCTTAGGCATTGCCGCATAAATGAATGGAGTGTCAAAATGTACATGCACCATACATATTTTGCTAGGACGGTGGGAGGGTTGAGGAACATTGCCATGTATTATGAATAGCTTCATGTGGAAAGGACAGTAACCAGTTGAGAGTTTAGAAGCAAAGAGCAGTCATTACTTATTTGTTCCTGGGAAATGTCTTGCTTTGATAGTGCTGTTGTGCATTTTGTGTGAATTCATGCGAGATCTCCTAACTGCAGATGTGTACATGTAGCTGCCATGTATTAGTGGATCACTTGTGGACAGTATTGCTTATGTAGTTGGTCAGAAATGTGGACTTATCGGGGTTATTCGGACGAAAGACTTTGGTTCACCAAATTGCCGTGGAGCGATATTGACTACAACAGGTACCTGTGTACAGGTGTCACGTTCAAGTTAATCACATGATCCGCTTTCATGAACCTGTCAGACTTTTTGTGTGTACAAAAGAAATGGGGGAACAGGATAAGTGCTGGAGGTGACTTGGTGGGCATGTGGTAGTTCAATCCGTCAGCCATGCTTATGCATACTGATGACTAGATCATGTTAACGTGTCCTCTGGTGCAAGGTGGTTAAGAGGAGAAACATGCACGTGTCCGGAGATCAAGTCAGAGGGGGGTCATCCATGGCTGTTCAGTGTTGGTAATGTTCTGCAGAAAAGCTGTCGGTGAGGGATGGAGCTTTTGTAACGCAAAGACTTTTGGTTTTATCCAAATTGTGAATCTTGTGATCTCATGATTACATTTTGTCATTTCTGCCCGTTTAAGGTCCGAGGAGGAGTGGGAGGAGCAGGAGAATAGGGTGTGGCTACTCCAGTGTAAGCAGGCATCCTCACTGGACTTGTGTCATAGGTCATTCTTCCGGGGCAAGATGCGCGTGGCTGACTTTGCCTTGTACCTGAAGACTCTGGATGTTCTTCCATATGTGAGTGCAGTGTTAATTCTCACCTTACGCAAATGCCCTAATCTTTCACCATAAAGGTTGGTGTTGTTGACAGTCTTTTGTGGATTGAAGAGGAGGCAATGGGGCTAGAGCCCCTACCTCTCTCAGGAATTTTTTTTTTTCAGAAAAAATGAAAGGCAGTCCCCAAATTTACCACTCAGAAAAGCCATAAAAGAAAACCCCAATTTTTGACCTAACCCCTTTTGGGTCTCCCTGAAACATATTCAGTTCTTGATCATAAAAATACCATGGAACGTCTGTTGATAATGCAGCAAATGTTTGCTCTCCACGATACACACCAGGAAAGGCTGTGGCAAGTGCTGCACCATTAATTGATTGTACGATGAAATGGGCGATAAAGGGGAGGGCTAACACCTGTTTTCGTGATGATATTCCAAAAACAAACTGTACGTGTAAGGGCGTCCCACCTTACGTACCTTGTTTGGTTCATTCTACATGTATTTTCATCCGTGTTTCACTCATGATTGAAAAGATGTCAGCAGTGCACTGTGCGAGTTTCGGGAACAAAAGAAACTTACATAACACCGCACAATCTGGTGTCTTTTCACAAGGTGGCAGGCCTGGCTGAAATACTCGAGTGTCAATAGATGTTGTCTGTCAGATTAGAGTAGCCACCAGACAGCCATTCGTGTGGGTGTAAACGTCCAGTAAATGAAGTTATGAATTTTTAAAGAATGTTGAAAACAGAAAAAAATGAAAAATCACTCGGCCCAGCAGAATCAACATGGATAAATGGGCCCGGCGCGAAGTGGTTTTTATACAAACCTCCAAAATGCACCTTTGTGTCTCAGTTAACCTTATTTTCAACTTTTTTCCACTATTTCAAAGGGTACTTTTTGTTACTTTGTGCTTCTTGTTGGCTTAGAATAGCATGGTGATTGATTGTGCAAGTGCATTTAGTCTGAACACTTTGTGGACCTAATTTCATGCTCTGCCACTTCCTGGTATCTATTAATTATAATAATAATTATTGATAACACTTGTGTGCCCTCAACTTAATGAGAAACAAATGCAGTTGGGTGTTCAATTCTCCTGACAGAAGGACTCTGAAACAAAAATTATGTATGCATGACTTAAAATGGTTTGAAACTTTAGCGAGCCTGCACCACATGCACTCGGTCATTCACTTGAGTTGATTTATTAAGCAAACTTTGCATGATCTGAGTGCATATTCTGCTTACAGTTAATGTTAACACACCCTCGTCAGTCTTGCAAAGAATAATTTCTCTTCGTATAATTAATTTTTGGGTCCGTAAGAAGTCATCACAAGAGTACTTGAAATAACTATTCCAGTACTACCAGCATTTTGGAGGGTTTCAAGTGAAAACCCTGCACAAATTTAATTTTGAAGTGCTTTGCTCCATGCATACTGGGTTGCCACGTTGACACATTGTATATGTGTCCTTGATGACGGGCCCATAACCTAGGGTACGTGTGGGTAACTGCCATTTTGCTAAGGATCTCCATGAAATTACAATGTACATATAAATCATCGTTCAAAAAGTAGTGAAAATGGCCCTGTTCAAAAGTGTCAATGTGCGTCAGGATGAATCAGTCAAGTCCATCATAAGTTAGGATGAGGAGAATTATGCATTTGTCACAGTTGATTTGAATGATTTGACTTGTGACAGGATAGCTAGGGTTGAACTCGCTGGAATATGTGATTGAGTGGACCAGAACATTGCCATGGTGATGCATCCAGGGTGCATGAATGATGTTCATGTACGTGAAACTTCAAAATATTTCTCAAGACCTATCTTCAACCTTTGGAATTTCTTTGAATTGAAAACCTTGTTTTAACAAAAGTATTTTTTTTAATCCTTAATCACAATACAAGGAGAAAAAGTGATATGTTGAAATGAGAAATTTGTATGGGTAATTCTATAAATCAGGGTCCAATTTTTGTCGTGTCCCTGTCACATTTGACATGTGATTTTGTAAGTTCAAAACACATTTTCTAATTTCCAAGAGTGATGAATTAATGCAAATTACCTGCCCAACAAATAGTAATAGAAAACAATTCCGGTGATATTTCCATGTCAAATAACAAAGGTCAGATGTAACAGGGACACAAAAATGTCCCACTTTTGGACCCCAAATATATAGAATGACCCATATGTCTATTTTTGTTTGCCTTGCACCGAACAGACTGAATATAAAGCCCCAGGTGGGACAGTCCTGTACCAACAACTGGGCATCCCAACGGCTTACCTGTACAGCAATGCTGCTGATTATAGGTATCACAAGGAGATGGTCCAGGACCTATCCCAGACATACCGTGGAAACCTTGGCTTTGTCCTTGTTAACAGGTGAAAGACAAATGCTGTTGTTTTGTAACGTGCTTAAAGTTGCCTCCGCCTTTGGGACTGGGGGCCTTGCCTTTGTTTTGTGTGTCCTGGGGCAAATTGACAAAGTTTTTATTAAAGTAACTTTAAAAAAATAAAAGGGGAAATGAGAAACCTCTTTAGGTACATCGGCTGATTCCTTGCATCCACTTTTCAACATTGCGGCTGTTCCTAAGGTTGGAGAACTAGAGTGGACTGAAGCAGTGGAGTCAGGCAAGCACAGCAGATCAACATTTACCGTTGAAGTTTACCTGTGAATGTTTTTTTTCTCTGGGACAAATTTGTTTATTTTTGAGCGGTAAGAAGGTGGTTTGGAGGAGAAGCATTAGATGGTTGTTCGATTGAAGCTCAGAAATTTTTTGTCATTACTGCTTCAAACCTTTCATGATTAATTATTCCAACGTGTAAAGCTGCAAAAGCTTACTCATATTCAGGTCTTTTCAGCCAGTTTGGCATCTAGGGTGTTGCCCGTCACCTCATGCCGCATATCATCTCTGCCTTTCAACCGTTAATGATGGCTCCCCATAAAAAATTCTAAATTTGTGCTGGTCCTTTAATTTAATGAGTTCGTTTTGAAGAGGGTACACGTGACAATCATATACAGGTAATTCCAGAAATTAGGACCCTTTTTTTTTCATGTCCCTGTCACATCTGACATATGATTTTGTAAAAGTAATAGTTTGAAGTCCATTCTGGTGATATTTCCACGTCAAATAACAAAGGTCAGATGTAACAGGGACACAAAAATGTCGCACTTTAGGACCCCAAATTTCTGGAATGTCCGTGCCATAGGAAATGACGTTGATCAGAATTGAAGCAAACTATAAAGCACTAAATCCTGTACTTTTTGTCGTCCACAGTGATGTGACTCCAGAGAGTGTTGTAGCTGACATTGAACGCTGCCAGCCTCCATGCCTCATGTTACAACGAGCGCCTGAGGTATTCCACTGAATTCTGATATGTAATCAGCCCTGAGCAGAAGTACCCCCTCATCGGTTGAAAAGAGCCATGTTGATGGGGAGTCTTCATTTTGTTGGTAGCAATGCGGCCATAATGTGTGAATTTCATAGTCCATTGTGAACCAGCGAAGTGCACTTCCCACCAAAGGGGCCTCCGTTGCAAAGGATATTGCGCCCTCTCGTGGTCTAGCTCAAGGCACATAAGTGCATAAGTGCCATTACGGAGTGGCGGCCTGTGGCCTACTGGTTCAAGTTTGTAACCCCTGCACAAAGGGGTGGGGATTGAATCCAGCAGCTGGTAATACGTTGTGACCTGACACAGGTCACTTTACTCCCATTCGCCTCTCTCCATGCAGGAGTGTTAAAGGACACTTCCGAGGGTAGACATGGTTGTCAGGTTTGTTAGTCACTTATGCTTGAAATGACAGCGTCGAGCTGTATACTCCCAAGGGAGCTGAGATGGTGCATTTATGGGCCTTCTGAGCAGAGATTGAACACCAGCAATGATGAATACGTGCACTTTAAAAATTCTCTGTAAATAATATTTAGTATTACTGATTATACGCACTGAAGTCAAAATTATCACCAAAAAAATCACCTAACCACAGTGCAAGTGAACAAAGCCAGCTGTCTGGCTGAATACTTTTTCCTTAATTCAGGATGTTTATGTAATTTTGAAAGTCCAAATGGTTTGATTCATGAAAAATTTAACTTTAGCCCATTCAACATCCATATACTCCAGCTTTGAAAAAAAAAATTTCAAACCAACTGACCAAATGGCAGATTCTTGAAAAGTACTCAGTGGCAACATTTGGCTGGCAATATATTGTGTAATGACCTTTCTTAATAGATCTTTTCTCAACTAATGTGATGATGTTCTTTACCTCAACTTTACAGTGATTTGAAATTGAAGGATATCTAGATTTTTTAATACTGTCATTCTAAACTTAATTGACATTTTCCCCTTGAAGGAGAACTTGATTCATATGGAAGATGATCTGACTGTGGAGAATGTAGCAGAGTTCATTGAGGACAACATGTACATTAGAGAGAATCCCTCTGAAATTCAAGAAGAGTACGATCCTGTCCCAGGTACCATACCTACATGAACATTGTCTCGTCATGATTCATCGTTGTACAGTATTCCAATCTGAGTACCTGTTTGGCTGATAAAACATGGCTGCAAAGGCTGTGTTTCTCTACACTCTAGGTTTCGCCGACAAGAGTTTTTTTGCCATTGTGAGGGTTCGGGGCAACTGGGGAATTAGGGCAACACATAGGTTATAACTGTTATTACTTTATTTAAACAACCATGCTCCAGAATACAATTAGAGATCATTCGGAAAAAAATACAGAATACAACACTTTGTAAACATCCAACAAGCAATTATATTAATTTAGGTTGCATCCAAATCTGTTAGCCAGAGCTAGGTCTAAGTCTTCACTTCATTGGAAATACACCAAGACATGCAGACGATAGACCTAGTCTTAGCTCTGGAAGCCCGTTTCGGACATGGCCCTGGACATGGACAATTCTTACCTAAGCAAGCTTCTGATTTTTTTTTTTTTTTGGTGCAACTTTTGGACTACTGTACTTTGGGCACCTTTGAGTACTATCCAACATGCGATCTGCAGACTGAAATTTACTATAAAAGTAATAAAATGGTTTTTTTCTATGAAAGAAAAATTACAAAAAAAGGTTTCATTTCATTAATAAAAAGTCAACCGATAATGTTATTATAATGTCATTCCATAGCAGCGATGCAGAACACATGCATCGTCTTCCCGCTAAGTTATATTCTCTGCACCAACTTGATTTGTTTCACCCATTTGTGCTTGATTTGTCTCAGTCCAAGAAGTCCAGGATGACGAGGTGCAGCATGCTGTCTACAGTGACACCAGAATCCTTGACATGGCGCACGTCCCCAAGTTGACCGACAAAACCTTCCCAGAATTCATTTCTGACACAGGATTGGTCATTGTTCTCTTTACAGTGCGCTGTGAGTAGAATTTGTCCACATCTTTGGTTTGACTCCCCCCCATTCATTAAAATCCCTGCCCCTCTCCAACCTTTAAGAACCCAGTGAATAAACTCATTTAAAATATGCTGTAGAAACTCGGAGTTTTTCAGTTTACATAAAACTTGATTTTCTTCCACATGTAGTCTTTTTTTTGTTTTTAACTTTTCCAAAGCATTGTCTTCAAAGCTTGACTCAAGATGTGAAAGGGAGAGACACCTTGGATCATACAATCCAATGAAGTCCATGCGGACCCAGGTTCATTAACCCTAACAGTCCTCAATCCTTCACCTGTTGGAGGACTGAGGACTGTTAGGTTTAATAATACATTAATGCAACAGGACAGAGGGGGCCATGACCCTTTGTGTTTCATTGTAACATAATGAACCTTTATTTGCCTTTGTGTTTAACCCATAACATGTGAGATGTTGAAGGAGCCTCTTTCCAATTCAGATTTGGAGGAGCTTTTAGTATTCTGTACCAGAATATTAGAAATTGCAGTTGAAGAGGCTGTAAGTAATAGAGTCTTAACTCTTACCTTTGTCTGTGAGAATGTTCATACTCCTATTTGTTCCAGTCAGAAACAGGGTTTCTCTTGTGCAGTGCACATTACATGAACATGTATAAATTGTAGAAAGGAACTTCCTAAATCAATGGAAAAGGTTTTCTAGATGTATTTTTGCGTTGGGGAGATGTTAATTATAAATAACGGGTTTGCCCTTACCCAACGTATATTAATAAACACTGTATGCTCAGTGCTTGTCCGAGAGCTTGCGAAAAAACCTCACAAGCTTACTCGGGTGGGACTCGAACCCACGACCTCCCGGCAAGCTCGGTGGTCGAGTGGTTAAGACATCTGCACTAGTAAACAGTTTTGAGCTGTTTATCAGAAGCGAAATTTTGAGGTAGTTGCACTTAAAGCTTCTTTTTAGGAGGCATACCGGTATCTTCCTTGAGTATCAAGTATGATAATGGAGCTATTAAACACAAGGACTTAGAATGAACTCCCTACAGACCGTAATCCGTTTAACCGTTCCGGTCGGCTCCGTAGACAAAGCGTGGTTACCAGCCCCAGTGTTGAAGACCCTGGACTTTTTTTTAACACAGTGATCGCCACCGCTGGGTAGCTGGTAACCCAAAGACTCGCTATGTTTCGCTGCGGCATACTGGAGTGGAGTAAATAGATGGTGGAAAAGATGCATGAAGAAAATGCGTAGTTCTTTTCAGTAGTCCGCAGGAGTCGGCAAATGATCCTTGCAGATGCAATCGAAAGTTCCGAATCGGCGGTGGTTATTTGGCAAAAGTGTGGCGAAACTGACTTTAAAAAAGTCCATTATGACATTCTGAGGATCCAGCGGTAGAGAACGAATCCCCAAAATATGAACTGCGATATTTATATCATAAATTGTAATCCTACTGGTTCCTACAGCCTGAAGGTGGAAACATGCTGCAGGAATGCATTTGACAATGTGGCAAGGTTTCATGCTGAGACAGAAAGGAAAACAGATCTTCCCCTGTTTTTGTGTGTTTTGTTATTTTCCTCTGGACCAGCCCCATTCTTTCAGTTTCCTTATCGCGTATTTTTGGAGAATATGTGTTAATAATTCTGGTTATTGTTTAAAGCAAGACATTTTGGGGATGTAAAGACGTAGCCAGACTTTCATTATCATTGGTATATCAAAACAATCACTAAAGTTATCGAAATTTAAGTCTCCGATGACGGTGGTTTCCGTCTCATGGTGGCCTTGTTGAACATGCTGAAGTGTTACGGACACACATCCGCGATACCTACAATCCGTTGCAAATGCAACTCCGAGCATTCCTTATAGCCTGCAAGCGGCACATAATTTGTTTTGTCCTTGCAGCACGTGCAGTGCTGGTGGTGGCCATCATTGACCCTTTTGATCTCTGTATGTGCTTACTCCTTGTGTATAATAGCTCCATGGTATGACGCATGTTTCAAACATTGTACAGTGTTTGCAATTTTAACTGAGCATGACTAGGAGGCATGTCAGCTGACAATGTGGCACTACCTTTGCATAGTGAACACGCGGGAAAGACAACACCTCCTGTCCTCAACCGCTGTCCCTGTGGCTCAAATGATTAAGTTGAAGATGTTGTCCACGACAAAGGCAGGCATGAGCGAGAGAGGCTTGAAGAGGAACTTGGCATCGGACCCTGGCAGGTAGCGTCGCCAGGGCCAGCGGGCGCACAGAGCATGCTCTATAGTTCCTGTCACGTGATGGAGGTTGGGTGAGACATCTTGGAGCTTTGTCCGTATCAAAGCCTCCTCTGTCAAAAGAAGGGGGAAAAATGCTGGGCTTTTCTGGAAGGTTTGTAGGGGAAAGGTTTCTGGAAGGTTTGTAGGGGGAGTTTGTTGATGTGTGCTTGACTGTCATGATTCTGAGCGCACATCGTTTTTAAGACATTCCCCTCTTCAAACTGCTGGCATGTACTTAAAGCCAGTTGTTTGACATTCAGCTTTTCCTAGCCAAAGCTTTTCAACACCCCCCCCTTTTCATTTCTGACCTGTTTCCTAGGGCCTTTTTCAATTCAAGCTTGGCCTGACAATTTCAACGTCGACGCAGGTCCATATTCTGACCAGGCCAGAGTCAGATCAAGCACAGGTAACCAAGGCATACTGTTCCCATGCTAACTGAATTTTACATACCGGTAAGTGCAGTGTTGAACCCCACGTGGGAACTGTGTTGGTCACAGGAAAAGTCCACAATGACCAGAAGATCTCGTCAACCGGTGTATGGACAGTGATAAAGATTACTGTTAAGTTAGGATACCACTTTACATGCACTTGCACATGTACATGTGCCATCATTCATGTCTGGTACGTTAATGCGTGTGGCATTCACCATATTGACGACCCACTCCCGTACAAATCAAAATGAAGTCCATGTATTTCTTTTGCAGTCCCTTGCAGAACTTGGTGTCTACACATGTACATGTATGTCAGTGGGCATCAGATGTAGGTTGATAAAGTGACGTTAAAAATGGTTGAAATGTACCTCGTTTGAACATTTGAATTCCACCATAACGCTGTCTTTCGTCTTCTGTTAATCTATCCCACAACTTCCTCCGAGAGCTGAGAATAATCTCTGGATCAGAGATGGATGTCTTAAATGCTCCTGGCTGCAAGATGTGCACTGTAATGCCCAGCCTTCTTACTCTTTGTCTTGAAGGGTAAATAGAAGTGGCGAAGATTAGGTTTGAAAAGTGAGCTATTAAGCAGTTATGTGTTAACAAGTCACTTGGGCATCTCCATCAGTATTTGTGAGTTTGTTTTGGTTGTTGAAGAGGTAAGCTTCCGTTTGGATTGAATGTGTTGGACAGTGGAGCTTCGGATTAGAGATGGTATCGGTCTGAGTGGCCAATCTCAAAAAGCTAGGGAAAAAGCCCTTGTATGTTCATACGTGTATTAGTCCACAGACAGAAAGAATGTGATCTTACTCAAATGATTTCCATCTCAGCGTGCTCAGAGTGATAATTAGACTATAGGGCGCTAGATTGACTTTCAACATCCCTTGGGACTTTCAACAATTGGTTTGTTTTGTATTTTGGCCTTTACTGCTGAGGCAAATGTGAAGCACAAAGTGCACAGAATGTACCCAGCTTTGTGAAATTTACTCGGGTTTGGAAGACGTAAAGATGTAGAGCTTCCTACTTGGTGATGCCAAGCAGCAGCTATAATAAACTCATGCTGATTTGGTGATGGTCAAATTTTTATTTATATAGTTTGCCACAAGTCACTTGGACCTGAAACCAAAACTGTGGTCTTCCAAAGGCCAACCCCTATGTCCACTCCATGTAAACATACAGGGGAGTACCCCTTCACTCACGAGGAATCAAGAGGCTGGTGGGGACTTCTTTAACTCCAACTGGCTGCCCAATGAACGTATAAAGACTGTACATTTTGAAGGAAAGTGGCCATGTGGGCTCATCGCATTTCTTGAATTATAAAGCTATGCATCCATGCAGTGTCTCCCTTCTATATGGACATTGTTGCTGTGTGAAAGCGTGTCATCTCTCGTTCTCACATGGACCTCATTGAGAGAGATGCAGCAGACATCTAGGTGGTATCACCACTTTAGGCCCAGTGCTCACAGGAACACTTTTGTACTCATACAGATGAAAAGTGGCCTTGTGCACTTCACGCCATGCAAATCAGTGCATATAGCATATGCACCTCAACTGCTAGATGGAGCCACCACAAGCAGCCATAATGTGACAACTGTTTTGTTTACAGGGAGTTTATGGACTCTGAATGGGACCATAAGAGAGTGCAGTTTTCCATGTAATGGCAGTTCCTTTTTTTGGAACTGCATTTCGTTGGTTCACAAACGATTGTGAGATGTATGTGGTATGGTCGTGTGACGACCACCAAACTGCCATGAACACTCCCACCATTTTGGCTCTTTTCAACTGATGGGGGGAGCTTCTACTCAAAACATTAAGGACAGGAAATCAAAAGGAACCCAGCACTAACTCCTGCCTATTCCCTCACCGTAAGTTATCTGAGTATGCCTCCACTGCCGTCTTGGAGGCTGCGTAAGCTGTGCCCACCATGGGCAACATGGCAGTGCAGCTGGACATGTTGACCACACGTCCGTGGGCCTGTATTAGCAGGGGCAGGAAGGTGCTGGTCACCTCTACCGTGCCCAGGAAGTTGACCTGGAAGATGGTGTTGATCTCCTCTCGCGTCAGCCACTCATAGGGCCCTCCTGGCTTGTTGATGCCAGCATTGTTGACCAGCCCCCATAAACCTGCGCTTGGGCACGAGAAGAAAATGCACTGGTTGATGGTAAGATACGTACCATAGATCTACTGAAAGCCCCAAAGCCACTGTCTTGTCAATAGTTATTTACATCACAGCCAAAGAGTACTCTTGCAGAAGTGATATCACAAATTAATTCTGTCTGTTTGTGAGTACCGGTACCACTGGAATAAGAGTGCTGAGGTAGCGCGAGTGACACCACTGGAAGAAGATTGTTGAGTTACTGTGAGTGACACCACTGGAATAAGATTGTTGAGGTACCTTGAGTTACACCACTGGAATAAGATTGTTGAGGTA